TTCTGGATTTTCTATTCGATTCCATTGGCTGTATGTCTGTTCTTGTTCCAATACCATGCAGTTTTGATGATTATGGCTTTGTAGTATAGTTTGAAGTCTGGGAGTGTGATGCCTCCATTTCCTTCTTTTTTTTTCAGTAGAGCTTTGGCTATTCGGGGTTTTTGGTGATTCCATATGAATTTCATCAATAATTGTTCTATTTCTTTGAAGAATGCCATTGAGATTTTGATTGGAATAGCATTGAATCTGTATATTGCTTTTGGTAGGATGGCCATTTTAATAATGTTTATTCTTCAATCCATGAAAAGGGGATGTCTTTCCATTTCTTTGTGTCTTCTTCTATTTCTTTTAACAGTGTTTTATAGTTTTCTTTGTATAGGTCCTTTACCTCTTTTGTTAGATTTATTCCCAAATATTTGATTTTTTTTGTTTCGATAATAAAAGGGGTGGTTTTTTTGATTTCTTCTTCTTCAGATTTATTGTTTGTGTATAGGAAGGCTACTGACTTTTGCGTGTTGATTTTGTATCCTGCCACTTTACTGAATTGATTGATGAGTTGAATTAGTTTTTCTGTGGAGATTTTGGGGTTCTCTATGTATATTATCATATCATCTGCAAATAGTGATAGTTTGACTTCTTCTTTTCGTATTTGGATTCCTTGGATGTCTTTCTCTTGTCTTATTGCTCTGGCTAGGACTTCCAGTATTATATTGAAAAGCAGTGGTGAGAGTGGACATCCTTGTCTTGTTCCAGATCTTAATGGAATTGCTTTCAGCTTTTCACCATTGAGAATGATACTGGCTGTTGGCTTGTCATAGATGGCCTTTACGATGTTGAGGTACGTTCCTTGTATCCCAAGAATTTCAAGGGCTTTTATCATGAATGGGTGTTGCACTTTGTCGAAAGCTTTCTCAGCATCTATTGATATTATCATATGGTTTTTATATTTCTTTTTGTTGATGTGTTGGATAACGTTGATTGATTTTCGGATGTTAAACCATCCTTGTGCCCCTGGAATGAATCCAACTTGGTCGTGGTGAATTATCTTATGGATACATTGTTGGATTCTGATAGCTAAAATTTTATTGAGGATTTTTGCATCAGTGTTCATTAGGGAGATTGGCCTGTAGTTTTCCTTTTTTGTGTTGTCCTTGTTTGGTTTTGGTATTAGTGTAATGTTGGCTTCATAGAACGTGTTTGGTATTGTCCCTTCCTTCTCAATTTTTTGGAAGAGTTTGTGAAGGATAGGCACTAATTCATCTCTGAATGTTTGGTAGAATTCATTTGTAAATCCATCTGGTCCTGGGCTTTTGTTTTTGGGGAGGTTTTTGATTACCATTTCAATTTCGCTGCTTGTAATTGGTCTGTTTAGGTGTTCTATTTCTTCTTTATCTAGCTTTGGGTGATTGTAGAGTTGTAGGAATTTGTCCATCTCCTCTAGATTGTTGAACTTGTTTCCATATAACTGTTCATAGTAGTTACTGATTATTCTTTTGATTTCTGCTGTGTCTGTTGTGATTTCTCCTCTTTCATTTATGATCCTGTGTATTTGTGCTTTCTCCCTTTTTTCCTTTGTGAGCCTGGCTAGGGGTTTGTCTATTTTATTGATTTTTTCAAAGAACCAGCTCTTGGTTTCATTGATCTTTTGGATTGTTTTTTTAGTTTCAATTTCATTTATTTCTGCCTTGGTTTTTATTATTTCTTTTCTTCTACTGGTTTTGGGGTTTTTTGTTGTTCTTTTTCTAGATCTTTGAGCTTCGAGATTAGGTTGTTTCTTTGAGTTCTTTCTTGTTTTTTGATGTGAGCTTCTATTGCTATATATTTTCCTCTTATTACTGCTTTTGCTGCATCCCATACATTTAGGATATTGGTGTCCTCCTTGTCATTCAATTCAAAGAATTTTTTAATTTCTTCTTTGATCTCCTCGTTAGTCCAGTGGTCTTCCAGTAGTGTGGCTTTTAATCTCCATGAGGTAGGATAGTTCCTTGCCTTCTTTTTATGATTTATTTCTAGTTTGATGCCTTCGTGGTCAGAAAAGGTGGTTGGTATGATTTCAATCTTGGTGTATCTGTTGATGTTTGTCTTGTGCCCCAGTATGTGATCGATCCTGGAGAATGATCCGTGTGCGCTTGAGAAAAATGTGTACTCCGTTTTTTTTGGGTTTAGTGTTCTATAGATGTCTGTTAAGCCCAAATGCTCTAGGCCCTTATTTAGAGCTTTAGTTTCTTTACTTATTTTTTGTCTTGTTGATCTATCCATTGTTGATAGTGGTGTGTTGAAGTCTCCCACTATGTGTGTGTTTTCTCTGATGTCTGTTTTCAGAGAGGACAACAGTTGTCTGATATATTTTGGTGCTCTTTCGTTTGGTGAGTATATGTTAATGAGTGTTATTTCTTCTTGAAGTATTGTCCCCTTAATCATAATGTAGTGACCATTGGGGTCTCTTTTTATTTTTTTGAGTTTGAAGTCTGTTTTATCTGATATAAGTATAGCTGTTCCTGCTTTCTTTTTTGGCCCATTTGCTTGTAGGATTGTTTTCCATCCTTTGACTTTGAGCCTATTTTTATCTTTTGTAGCTAAATGTGTTTCCTGGAGACAGCAAAAGGTTGGGTTTTGTTTCTTAATCCAGGCTGCAACTCTGTGTCTTTTTATTGAAGAATTTAGTCCATTTACATTTAGAGTTAATATTGATATGTTAGCATCTGTATTTGCCATTATGTTTGTCTTTCCTTTGATTTTATTTATTCTTTTAATAACTTTTTTTTTTTTTTTTGGTCTTCTTTCGTTGTTATTCGTCCCTCTGAGGTTCTGGCTTTAGGATTCCTTGTAGTATTTTTTGGAGTGGGGGTTTAGTCGTAATGAAATTCCGGAGTTTCTCTTTGTCTGGGAAGGTCCATATTCTTTCTTCATGGAGGAAAGAGAGCTTTGCGGGATAGAGTATTCTTGGTTGGCATCTGTTTTCTTGGAGTCTGTTGACTATGTCCCTCCACTCTCTCCTTGCCCGTAGTGTTTCTTCAGAGAAGTCTGATGTCAGCCTGATTGGTTTTCCTTTGAATGTTATCTGTTTCTTCCCTCTTGTCAGCTTCATTATTTTTTCCTTGTCCTGGATTCTTGGGAGCTTCACTATTATGTGTCTTGCTGTGTTTTTCCTTTCGTCGTGGAAGTTTGGTGTTCTTCTTGCTTCTTGTATATCAATTTTCAGCTCCTTCTTCGCATTTGGGAAGTTCTCTTCAATTATCTCCTGGAATATTTTCTCTGTTCCTACGTCTCTCTCCTCTCCTTCTGGAATTCCTATAATCTTATATTTCCTTTCCTCATGGAGTCAGATAGTTCCCGAAGTCTTTCTTCATTCTTTTTCCTTCGTACTTCTCTTTCCTTTTCTGTTTTGGTTCTTTTTATTTCTGTGTCTTCAAGAGAACTTATTCGTTCTTCCATTTCATCTATTCTGCTTTCCTTGCTTTTCCCGGAGTTCTTTAGTTCCTCCATTAATTCTTTGATCTCCTGCATTTCTTTTACTTCCCTCTTTAGGGACTCAATTTCCTTCTTCTGATCTATCACTTTTTTAATCATGGCAATTTTAAATTCTCTTTCTGGAAGGCTCAGAAGTTCTTCCAAGTTGCTGTCGTTGCAATCTGGGGAGTGGTTTTCTTTTTGTGGTGTGCTTCTTTCCTGAGGAGTTGTTAGGTTGCGTGTGGTTCTTCTACTCCCTATTGTCTGTTTTCTAATTTGTCGTATGCGTTGGGACACTGTGTTGCTCGGACTGACTGACATCTTGGGTGAACTTCTCCGCTCCCCTCTGGCTCTTCCAGGAGCCATCTCTGTCTTCTGGGGGAGCTTTCTGCTGGTTTTAGGCCGTTTTTACTGAAGAAATGTCCCTGTTCTCAAATGGCAAAGCGGGATGCAGTCCCTGCGCCTCCGGTTTCAGGCACACTCTTCTGCGCCCCCGGTCTGCCCCGGACGTGGGTGCCTGCTCCCTCTGTGGGCTCAGACTGCTGGTCGGAAGGGGCCTGGCGTGGAATAACTTCCCGGCTGGCCACTGGGTCCTCCAGAAGCCTTCTGCCCTTTTCAAGCAGTCTTAAGAAATTTTCTGTTCTATGGGGTGTTAGTGACTTTTTTTTTCCTGGTCGCTAGGTGGCGCCAGAGATCTCTCCTATTGTCCTTGGGGGGCTGTTTTTCGCCTCCCCCCACCCCGTGGGACAGGGAACAGAGCAGGAATGGTAGGGTACACCTCAACAGCTTTGGGGTGCTGTGTCTGCCTTGTGCCCCACCGTCGTGGAGAATCCACGCCCCGAATTTTCGTGCCCTGAGTCTCAGTTCAAAGCCCTCAGTTCCAGGACGCGGGCTGTAGCCCAGTTCAGTGGCGCGGGAATGGCGCCTTTTGCACCGCTCCCGTGCCTGGGTGCCTGGTTCCTGCTTACTCAGGGAGGGACCTTCACGTCAGTGAGGACCTCCGCGCGTCTCCCCGCAAGCCTAGGTCGTCTCCCCGCAAGCCTAGGTCGCAGGCGCGGGGACCTGGGCAGCCGCGATCCAGGTCTGCACTTGCTTTTCAAGCGAACTGAGCGCGCTGCTTTCCCGCGCCAGCTTACCGGCAGCCCGGGCTGTGTGCGCGTCTCCCGGGGTCTTTGTTCTTCTCTAATGGCGCCCGGAGCCGTTCGCTCACTGCCGTGGCGGATCCTGCAGGGTTCGCCTCAGCTCCCGTTCACAGGGTGTGGTGGCTGCAATAGTTCCTTTCCACTCACAGTCCCGCTTGCTGCGTAGTTTGTTCTTGTTGGCCCTTTTGGTTTGTTGTTTCCCTCCTCTCTGCGGGTCGGAGAGTGCCGCCTCTGTGGGCGGGGGAGGGGAGCAGGGTTCTGCGCTTCCCTCCCTTCTGGTCCTCTTTTATGGCCACTTTCTTCTTCGGGTAGTTTGCTGGCGTCACCCGTTTATCTTCCGTGTCCCAGTTCTCACTGGGACCTGCCGCTTTTCCTCCCTATTAACTTTTTTTAATGGGAGATCTTACTCGCAGCGTCTCCTCACCGCCATGTTGCTACATTTTAACTGTTTTTTGTGTAGGACTGAGAAACACTGGACACAGCTTTGGGTGCAGTAAAGGTCATTATTGGCCTCGGTAACTGTTTTTCCCTGGTTTGTTAAATAAATCCCTTTGCTGTTGTTGCCTGAGCCTTAGTAATCTTGCAATTGTGCGCATGGGTGAAGAACTCAGACAATGACCAGTAAACTATTTGGGCAGTGTCCATGGCCAGTTTAGTGCCCCTTGCTGCCCTGTGTTATCCTGAGGGAGCCCCAGCTTAGTCAGCAGAGCAGACTCATGGCCAATCCAGGGCAGATTACAGCAAGGGCCATAGTTATGGTCAGGGTGTTTGGAAGTGTCAGATGTGGGAAAGTCCAGAGGTGGTAAAAACTTCCATGGGACAAGTGGCTTGGAAGGCAGCTTTGGGCAGGATGGTAGGGTTTCAACAGGTAGGTGTAGGAGGGAAGAACATGGAGAGGGGACAGTCAGTCCAGGCAGAAGGACATGAGTGAGAAAGGGGAGCTGACCCAGGACTTGGGGCCAGCAGGGCTGGAGAAAGCTGAAGAGGCTGATCAGGCCTTCTCACAGCAACCCCCTCAGACCCTAGTGATCCCCACCAAGGGGGTTGGGAGGATCCTGAGCATTCCCTTTCAGCCACCACATGCCCTATGTAGATAGGGAAGATCTGGGCTGTTGTCATAAACAAAAAATCCTAACTTTGGTCTCAACTTCATTCCATGTAAAACAGAAGGTTCAACACACTAAAATAGAAATAGTGCAAAGGCCTCTTCCAATTCCATAGAAGTGTAACTCAACAGGAGGAGCCAGGAACCCTGGCTGGTGGGTCAAAGATGAATCCAACACCAGCACACAACAGTAAGTAAGTCAAAAGGGTCTATTTAAAGAAACAGGCCAGCTCCTGCCAGCAGTGAGCAGGCCGGAGGAGATTTATGCAGGGACAGATAAAGAAGCACAAGAGCTCCCACACAGGAGGGTCCCAAAACAGGTTGTGGCTGGATGGGAGGAGAATCCAGGTTTCTATAGCTGTGCTCAGGTGTTTGGTCTAGGGGATGAGCCATGGTGGTCTTGTAGCTTCTTGATTGGTCAACCTTAACCAATGTTGTAATATATGTCAACCAGTGACAGTGTTTTGAGCATTTATTGTTATGTGATGTTTTGAATTTTCCCTTTTGTTATGTCTTCCAAAGGGCCCCAGTTCCTATCGTTATGTCAAGGCCTAATCCTCAGAAGGTAGGATTAGGGCCCATGGGCTGAGGCTGAGGCTGAAGCTGAGGTCCACGTTGGCACAGGTAGCCAGGAAGGAGGACTCTGGCACAGGTGTGTTATGTGTCATAGACTCTCCCTCCCCCCACACCACTCACAAACATACACACATGCACATATAGCCCCATACCACATATGAGCCATATAAAATGTAAAATGGAAGCCTCTAGCAATTACCTTGCTGCCCTCACTGATCCCCACAAGTTGGCATCCAGAACCCGAGTCCTAACTCCCTCCTGTGCATGGTCCACTCCTCTACACAGTCCCCACACCTGGACTATTGTTTTCAGAAAGACACACGCCAGTGACATAGCAAGAGGCCACGGGGGCCCCCACCAGCAGTCAGCAGGGGCATCTTTGGGAATCTTTAGGAGAAGAGGGGTTAGAAGCTGGGTCAATGACAGAGGAAGAGTGCCCACCTACTGGGGTGAGACTCCAGATTATGAGGGCGACTTGGGGTGGGGGTTGGATATTAGAGAAAGTGACAGCCCACAAGTGCCCAGTGCCCATGCAGTGAGGGTCAGTGAGGGTCAGACCAGGGGCTTCTGGAGCTGATCTATGGCTGGAAGAGGCACCTGTCTGCAAGGATCAGGCTCAGAGAGGGTCATGGATTTGCTCATTCTTCTGCTCTGTCCAATTAAATCATCTTCACGGGCTGGCCTGGGCTGTGGACCCATGGTAGACAGTTGTGAGATGCTCCCTTTCTTCCAGATGGTGCTCACCTGTGCACTGAGAATGCAAGACATGGAACATTTGAGGGACAGAGAGGACCCACAGGGAACAAGAAGGAGCCAATAGCGACACGAACCACATGTGAATATCCCAGGCCACCCCACTGCACTGTGAAATTTTTGTAGTTAACACTGTTGGCTGTCCAGAATGAGTTAAAGAGGAGGTGCCTGGGTCAAAAACAGCAGGTGACTGGGTTTCACAAGCCCAGACCCAGGCAATAGGCATTGGTCCACCTCTCACCTTGTCCTGGCAATCCTGAGACTCCTGCTGACTCAGCTTATGAGCGTGGGGCATCATCACAGTCCTTAGGCTCCTCTGTGATTCTGCACCTGTGGCAGGCACAGAGAGGAGCTTGAGGTAGGTCTTAGAAGCCTTTACCCTCCCCCCTGCTCTGAGCCCCAAGATCCTGGCCACGCAAATACCAAGCACATCACCTGAGCAGCAAATTGTAGCAGAAAGAAAGCAGAGGTCCTGGTGGGGAGAGTCACCTGCCTTTTGCTACCTCCTTCTCGTCGCAGCACATGTAAATACACACGCCAACACACAGGAAAAACGGCAACACCACAGAGGCACCACGGATGGCAGACAGGGGTCCATGAGAACCTGAAAGAGTTAAGAAGGATCAGGAAGAGAGAAATTGAGACTCCCATTGCCACAGACTGATGGAGAGAGAGCAAGTGGAGAGGTCTGAAGGTCTTGGAGCAGAAACTGAATAAAGAGGAACATGGCACCTTCATTCATTCAACCATTTCCTCAGTCCCTACCTGGTGCCAGGGACAATGAGAGGAATAAGAGATGTGCACACTCTTGAGTTCATCACCTGGGGAAAGTGAGAAAATACCAAAGTCCACCAGCCAGAATGACACAGTACATAGAGGTTTATTTCATGTACACATGTCTTTACGAGGGCCTCCCAGAGGAAGTAAAGGGTAAACTGAGTCTTGAGGGAGAAATAAGAGTAGGAACATCATTTTAGGGAAGAACTGCACTATGTTCAGAGAATGAATGTGTCAAATCACCAGTCCCAGAGAGGTACCAGCACCCACCATTGAAAGCAGGAGAGAGACAGGGTAGAAGGAGCAGGCCATGATGACTACAGGAGACAGAAGTCTCCTTTCAGAATATCTGGTGGGCTTTGCTGACTGAGAACTTTATCTAAGGCTCCAGAATGAAGTAAAATGGAGTTGGATGTAATGCAGTAACAATGGGTCCGTCCAGCAGCTCATGAGGACAGGTGAGGGGGAGGCTGCACACGGGACATCAGGTCAGTCATTCATTCATGAGACACTGGCTGTGAACTCACTGCCACAAGTTCTACTTGGCACAGGGATTCAAAGGAGAACAAGATGTGACCTGCCCTCATTGTTCCAGACTATGGAGGAGACAAATCCTTAAACAGCATTGTTCCTTGGTGTGGGGTGACCACGTCAGCTCCCTGAGGCAGCAATGTCTGAGGCAGGACAGCAACAGCACCTGTGCAGGGTGAGAACACAGAGCCCCTTCTCAGACGTGCTAGACATGTTGAGGGACAAGTGTGGAGCTTTAAAACAATCGCAGGCCTGTATGAGACCCAGGCACATTCCCGGGAGCTGATACCCCGAGAGGATGCTCCAGTAGCAGCAGGTCAGGAAATGAAGGACCGGACCAGTAGGAAGGAATGATGAGGGAGACATGAGTTCATGGTAACAGACCCATCAGGGAGCTCCAAGCAGGCAATGTGTTGTACTGTGCATGGAGACAGAAGCATGGTCACAGAAGCATCTGAGCCCTGAATCCAGTAGGTAACGGGACCCCGCAAATGCAAAATCCAATATCTTTCCCAAAAGGGCACAGAGTCTGTGCAGGGTGGGAAAGGTACTGCTGGGCACACAGTGCTAAGGGAAGGGCATGGCTGTGAAAGACATTTAAAAGATGAGGCAAGATGATTGTGCCCAAAACCAGGCTCCTGTACAAGATAGCCTGGTGGGAGGTGGTGTTAATAGATGTGATAGGGAAAAAAAGTCCAGAACCCACACAACCCCATGCACCCTGATCCCTGAGAGTACCCTCCCCAAGGCAGGTCACACTCACCAGGGGCACACACCTCCCCAAGGGCTTTGGTGACAGTCTTCTGGTCCACCGGGTTGCTGACCACACAGGTGAGGCTGGCATGGGGCTGGCTCAGGGGCTGGCTCACAGCCAGGATCCAGGAGCTGCGGGCTGGTCCTGGTGGGGGCCTTCTCTCCAGACCCCCGAGGAGGCCCTGGCTCTCCCAGGTCACACTCAGGTTCTCTCCGTCCCTCATAATCCTGCACTCCAGGGTGACATTACACCAGTCTGGTGTGAGGGACAGTGACTCGGTCACGATCTGGGGAAGGGGCACAGGCTCTGGGGAAGGAGGGGACAAAGGAATGGAGCCTCAAGTGAGTGAAAACATTATAGTTGCCACATTCTCATCCATTATCTTACTGAAACCTTGGCATCCTCCCTCTATAGGTGATGACAGCATTTTTCAGTTAAAATACAATTTACCCAAAGTTAGATATATATCAGGTGACCTTAAGAAAAGGATTCAGAGAATTAAGCCCTGTCATTCCATCAGATGAAGGAAACATAAAATTCTCCCATATAAGAATGAAATTGAGGACCCCACCTACCCAAAACCATTATTTCTAAGAAATTAGGTCCTTCCTAGGAGAAAACCTGAGACCAAAGGACGTGTTCTGCTCTGGGACCCTTGCTTCTCCTGCTCAAACAAAGCCTGGGCTTCACAGTCCATAGTGGAGAAGGACATCTGGGCAGTGCTAGGTGACCAGAAAAAATAGTCACATGATCCCTAAAGTAGAAACACTTGCGAGAAATGCAGTAGTACTACTGGATCACATTCTCTGTTGCAGTTAACAGCTGTGAGTGTGGTTAAAATACACCACTAAACTTGAGGTCCACACAGGAATGGAAGTGACAGATTAATAATATGGCCATAAAATCAGTTGAGAATCAAAAGTGCAAAAATTATTCTCTCGTAGCATGAAATTTCTCTAAGCAGAGATACCTGTTAAGGAAAGAAAGTGCTACCTAATTACATTTTGCAGAAAATGTAATTAATCTTTCATATATATATCTATAGATAGATAGATAGGTGAGTTTTTAGAGCTACGTTTGTAGATTCTATGATTGCAGCTGTCCCAGGCAGAAGCTAAGTGAAAGGAGAGAGGACAAAGTGGATGAATTCATGTGGATTTCCAAATTGTGATAGAAAAAATATGACTCCCTTAGAACATGTGAAAATCTTAGGTTGCAAGACAAAGAAACTAAGTTTGACTTTAAATTAAGGTTTCTAAACAATGGAACTTAAATAGATGGAGACAAAGAGTGATGTCAATTTCAGATTTTGTTCAATGACACAAGAGGAAAAACTAAACATTCTTCAGGAACGGGATACCACGAAGAGACTCCTACAGCACCACACTCTGCTGCTATCATCAGTCTATCATTAGATTTCTCTTCAGAAATTCTGTGGACAAGGAGAGAGTTGAATGACATATTCAACTCAAAAATGAAAGTCATCTGAAGAACACGGGATCCTGCAAAACTCTTTCTGAGTGAGAAATCAAGCCTTTTGAGATAAACAATAGCTGAAAGAATTCACTACCATGAGACCTCTTACAAGAAACGTTGAAAGGCGCTCTTCACATAAAATGAAGAAAAAAAAAAGTTCACCAAAAATAAAATCATGGTTGTAAATAGGCACAATTGGAAAACAGTGATAAAATGGCAGTAGCAAGCCACCATATATGAATAATCACCCTAGATGTAAATGGACTGAACTCAACAATTAAAAGACACAGAGTGACTCAATCAATTTAAAACCAAAACCCAATTATATGCTGCCTGAATAGACTCACTTAATGTATAGAGAGAAACACAGACTAAAAGTGAAGGGGTCAAAAATGGTACTTTTGGGTAAAGAAAAAAATTTAAATGCAGGCACCACCATGCTTATTTCAGGTAAAAATAGATTTCTAATCAGAAATATTAACAAGACAAAGATGGATAACACATAATGACAAATAAATCAACAGAGCAAAAAGACACAACATTTCCATATATATATATATATATATCCAATTTATAGCAATGGACAGATCATCCAGAAAATCAACAAGGAAGCAATGGTCTTAAATGAAAAATTAAATGATATGGATTTAATCTATAGTTGCAGATCATTCTACTCAAAAACAAGAAAATACAAATATTTTCTCAAGTGCACTGGAACATTTGCAAGGGTAGATCATATGTTGGGACAAAAAACAAGTTTCAATAAACTCATGAAGAGTAAAGTCATTCCAAACATCTTTTTGGATCACAATGGTATAAAACTAGAAATCAGCCAAAAGAAGAAACAGGAATTCCAACAAATATACAGAGACTAAACAACATGCTAATTGATCAACTATTGGGTAAACAAAAAAACAAAGAAGAGAAATCAAAATATATCTGGAGACAAATGAAAATGAAGACACCACTTACCAGGTCCTATAAGATGCAGGAAAAGTGGCAATAAAAGGAAGTTTATAGTAACATTGACATAACTCAGGAATCAAGAAAAATCACAAGTAGAAAGTATAGGTTTACACCTAAAGAACCTAGATAAAGAAGAAAAAATTAATCCAAAGTCAACAGGAAAAAAATGAATATAGTGAACACAAAAGAAAGACATTGAATAATTTTAAGGGTGAAATATTTATGTGATCTGATAATAAACCAGGGTATAGAAGATAGATCAATGACCAAGAGCTGGTGTTTTGAAAAGATAAGCAAAATAGACCCAGACTCAGAGGGAAAATACAAATAAATAAAATCAAAATTGAAACAAAGTTATAACAGATACTGCAGAAACACAAAGAATCATAAGACAGCATTATGAACATCTGTATGATAATAATAAATGTGGACAATCTAGAAGAAATGGATTAAATTCTTGGAAACATACAGCATTTCAAGACTGAATCTGGAAGAAATAAAAAATTTGAACAGATCCTTACAAGCAAGGAGATGAAACAAAATCAAAAGTCTCCAAAAAAACAAAAGCTCAGGACCAGATGGATTCACTAGTGGGTTCAACCAAACTTTCAAAGAAGAATTAATATCTATCCACCTCACACTCTTTAAAAAAAATTCAAAAGGAGGGAAAACTCCCCAACATCTATTATGAAGAAACATTATACTAATTCAAAAACCAAAGGACATCACAAAAAGAAAGAACCTTAGACCAATATCTGTGATAAACAAAAATTCAAATATCCTTAACAAACTACTAGCAAAACAATTTCAACAATACATTAAAAGAATCAAATACCATTATCAAATGGCATTTACTCCAGGAATACAAGGATGGTTCAATGTCTGGAAATCAATTCACATGATACATCACATCAACAAAAAGGATAAAAATCATATAATCATCTCAGTACTGCAGAACAGACAATACTGAATTTGGACAAGAGTCGATGTCAATTTATGATATTAAAAAATCCTCAACAAAATGGCTATAAAAAGAATATATACCTCAACATAATAAATGTCAATTATGATAAAACTGCAGCCAACATCATACTCAAAGTTGAAAAAGTGAAACCTTTTCCTCTAAATCAGGAATAAGAGAAGGATGTGTACTCTCACCACTGTCATTCAACATAGTACTCTAAGACCTAGTCAGAGCAATTAGACAAGAAAGGGGAACAAAGGCATCCAAATGGGAATGCAAGAAGCAAAACTATCACTATTTGCAGATGCTGGTAATACATAGAAAATCTCAAAGACTCAGGTAAAAAAAAATTAGAAATAATAAATTAATAAAATACAGTGGAAAAATAAAAAATTAATATTAAAAGTCAGTTTTGTTTCTATATAAAAATAACAAGCTAGGAGAAATGGAAATCAGGAAAACAATTTCATTTAATCAAAAAAATATTAAATGCCTAGGAGAAATTTTTACAAAGGAGATGAAAGACCTGTACACAGAAAACTAAAATAAGATATTGAAAGAAATAGATGAATGCACAAAAAACAAAAACAAAAAATTCCTTGCTTATAGACTGGAAGAATTAACATCATTAAATGGATATATTATGTAAAGCAATAGAGATTAAACACAACCCTTATCATAATCCCATGACATTCTTCAGAGAAGTCAAAGAAAAAATTCTAAAAATGTATTTGGAAGCACAAAAGACCCCAACAGCCAAAACAAACAGAAAAAAAGAACAAAAATAGAGTAACACAATCACTGACTTTAAAAATACAAAATGGGGGCTCCCCGGTGGCACAGCGGGTTGAGCACAGCGCTGTGAAGCTGTCCCCAGCCTCCTTAGCACCAGTTAGATTCCTGCCAGGCCAGGGAGATTCCCACATGGCACCACAGACCTCTCCTGTCTCACCTGCTGCTCCCTTCAGCAGTGTATTTTGGTCCTTCTGCCTGATCTGCTCCCTGTTCTGTCTCTGGTGGATTCTCTCACCTTCCTGTGCCTTTGGCCTGTACCCCAGTGCTTGCATAAATAAATAAATCTTAAAAAAAAAAAAAAGTTTAAGCTTTTAAAAAAAAAATGATAGTAACCAAAAGCACCATAGTTTTGGAATTAAAACACAAACATGGATCAATGGAACAGAAATGAAAACCCAGAAATAAACCCACATATATAAGAAAACTAGCTTATGACAATGAAGCCATGAGCATACAAAGAGCAAAATTTCTTCAAGAACAGAGTTGGGAACTGGACAGTCACATGCAAAAGAATGAAGCTATCTAACACCATACATAGAAACAAACTCAAAATGAATGAAAGACTTGAATTTATAACCCAGAACAGTAAAATACATGAAAGAAAACATAGGTGATATATTCCTTAATATCAACCTCAGAGGGGCTACTACAATGGCAAGGGAAACTGAAACAAACACAAATAGGAAGATCTCAACCTAAAAAACTCCTGCACAGAGAAAGAAAATATGCTCCCCACAAAAAGGAAGCCTACCAAACAGGAGAAAATGTTTGCATATCATACTTTTGACAAGAGGTTAATATTCAAAATATATAAATACACAAAGGAGATATAATAACAACCCAATACAAGAATGTATAGAGACTCTGAACAGACACTTCTCCAAAGAGACATACAAGATGACCAATAAGCACATGAAGATATGGTCATCATTGTTATTATTAGGAAAATGAAAATCAAAACAAGAATGAGAAATCATCTACAACCCTAAAAATAGCATTTACTCAAAAGAAAAGAAACAACATAAAGAGGAAAAGATGAGGGGGAAAGGGAATGCTTTAATACTGCTGGTGAAATGTAATTAGTGCCTCAATTATGGCAAGTGCTAGCCAAAATATGAAAAGAATAAATTTCCCATCAACAAATGATCAGATAAAGAAGTTGCGTTAACATGTACACAAGAGAATACTACTCAGCTATATAAAAGATGAAATCCTGCCATTATCAATAACTTAGATGTACCTAGAGGGTATTGTGCTTAGTGAAATAAGTCAGATGCAGAAAGACAAAGACCCTATGATTTTGTTCATATGTGGTTCTTAAAAAACAAGACAAATGAGTGAACTAAATAAAACAAATACAAACTTTCAGACTATAAGACCAAATTAGTGGTTACCAGAAGGGAAGGGAAAAGGAGAATGAGTAACTCAGGTAAAAGAGGTCAATTGTATGGTGGATAGAATTAGAATTTTAGTGATGAATATAATGTACTATATCAGATGTTTTTTATTCCAGTATAATGATAATATCCATTTTCCCTAAAATAAAATAATTTTAATATCGGTATGTAAATAGGGAAATTATTGCTATTATCTGGAAGAACCAATGTATCATAATGGAAGGATAGGTATCCTTAAAAGTGGAAGAAATGGGGCCTCCCCTGGAGGTGCAGCAATTGAGCGCTGGGCTGCGAAGCTGCCCGCAGCCTCTGCAGCGCTGGTTCAATCCCTGGCCTCCGGCGAGGGTCCCACATGGCGCGCAGACCTCTCCTGCCGCCCGCTGCTCCCCTCAGCAGTGTACTTCGTCAGTCTGCCTCTTCTGCTCCCCGCTCTGGCTCTGGCGAATTCTCCCACCCTCCCGTGCTTCTGACTGTACCCAGTGCTTGTATAAATAAATAAATAAATCTTTTAAAAAAAAAAAAAGTGGAAGAAATGGCAGAACATGAGGTCAGAGAGATTTAATGTGAGGATCAACCATGGCCGGCATTGAAGATGGAGCCAAGGAGACACAGGCACTACCAGAAGGAGGGAAAGAAATAAAGGATTCTTCCCTGGAGCCTCCAGAAAGGAATGCAGTTCTTTCAACATCTTAACATTCAGTCACTGAGACACTGGTCTGACTTGTAACCTCCAGAAAGGACAAAAAATACATGATGTATTAACCCACTGTATGTTGTCTTTAACACAAAAGCAAGAGAAAACTAAAACAAAAATAAAGCAAATTTCATCCTTTAAAAAAAATCTATATGTTACTGCAAAAAAAAAAAAAATCCATTCTCCCAAATTTTTGTTTTCTTCGGCCAAAACAGAGATGATTTTCTCCCTGGTGTGAATCTCAGCTCTACTCTCCATTACTGGTGAACAAACCCTATCTCAAGGGAGAAAATAGAATCTGAAGGCTGATATCTAAAAGGAATTCTGCAAAATGGGACCCATGTGAAATTCCAGGGACAAGAAGTAAATCATGGCATGGGGTGTGGGGGTCACACACCGTACACAGTGAGCTGGAAAAGTTGGGACATTTCTCCGCCTCCTGGTAACATGGCTTGAGCCCAGTACCGTCCACTGTCCTCAGAGGTCAGGTTCTCAATCCTCAGGGACGTCATGTTGGGCACATGGACCCTCTGCCCATACTTGTCCCAGAGGTTGCACCAGGTTGGAGCATCTTCTGCCCCACGATGGACTTCAAGCATGATGACGTAGGCTGACTGAGGAAAAAAACCCCACAAGATCTTCTCCAGCTCAGCTCCTGGGTTCGTGTTCATGTGAAACCAGACAGCACCTCCTTGAGTCCCCTTCACAGGATTGTTGGCTTCAGAACCTTTCACTCCAGAACCGTGTGCTTCAGAACTCTTGGCTCCAGGGCTGCAGATGCCTAGGGCATTGGAAATGGGAACTGAGAATGTTTTACTTTCACGAAAAACTGATAATCATAGTACCCTTATTTTTAATGAAATTCACGCATATTCTCCCTTGATTATTGGAAGTCACCTAAGACAAAAAATAAGATGCAATTCTGAGATCAGTTGCCAGTTGTAGTGGAGGATAACCTTGAACATGTAAACTTAAGTTCCCTTGCCTGCCTTATCATGATGATTTAAATTAAATGAGAATATGGAGAAGAGCGCCAACCACATGGCACATTCCAAGAGCATAACTGTAGAAGGTACTTATAAGAGTCCATAAAGTTCCCTCGCCTCATGTTCTACCCCTTGTTGATTCCTCCCTGGTGACTCCTTCTAAGGAATAGAACACAGTAAGTTCACTTAGTAAGGTCACTTAGTGATTAACAAGACTGTGAATCAGTCTCCTCACACTCTCTGCTTTACACTCTCCTGTTCATGCTGAAAATGGCCTGCCCGTGCCCTGTGGAGATGCCCTGTGGAATTGAAGGCAGCCTGCAGTCAACAGCCATGGAGAGGCTGGGCCCCCCCAGTCCAACAGCCACAGGAGCTGCATCCTGTCAGCAAGCACAGCAGTAGAATGGAAGCAGATCCTCCCACTTGAAAGGCAACCCCTTGATTTCAGCTGGAGAGATCCTGAACCAGAGGACCAACTGAACCACCCCTAATTCTGATCCACAGAAACCATAATACATGAAAATGGAGTTGTTTAAGGCACTACATTTTGGTGTGACCAGTCACATAGCAATAGAGGCTAATATAATAATGAAGGTTCTCTCCTTCCGACTCCTCTGGGTATGCAGTAGTCAGGATGGGTGAGGCTGTGCTGCTGAAACAAACTATACAGTCCCTCAGGGTCTCAGAAAGGTGAGGTCATATCCCACACAATGTGTCCATAGAGGATCCTGGATCCTCTATGGCAGGGGCTCCCACGTTGTAGCTACTCCCCATAGAGCCCACAGCATCCTCATGGCCTATCAGTTCCACTTCAAGCATTGCTTTTATTTATTCTTAACATTTATACTTTCAATGTTTGTGCTTAAACTTTTGACCTTCAAGCAATATACTGAGATGTCACACTAGATGACCTAGTGCATCAGTGTAATATCAAAAGCTTGACGTTAGAGTCAGCAAGTCCAGGTCTCTATTTTCAGGCTCTGTGAGTACAGGCAATTATTTAACCTGATGCCTTCAGCTGTCTCACCCGTGAAATGGAAATAATAGCACTGCTGACCTCAGAATTAGCGTGGAGATTTAAAACAAGAAAAACTCCTGCTCAGTGTTCCATAACTACTGCAGACATGGGCGCTGCTCTCATTGTGATGATGATCTGACCCGGCATTCCTGGATCAGAACCAGAATGCCAGGTCCAGGGGAGAGCCGTTTTTCTCCACCAGCTGCCCCCCTCAGGTGTCTCCTCCCGGGTACAGGGGGCATGGGCCGTAGAGAGTCAGAAACCCCAACCCCATAGGTGGCTTAGGGAGTCAAAGTCCTGCCAGGGTTTTCTATTCCAAAGCCTAAGATGGAAAGGAAATGTGTGGCTGTGCAGGGACAGCTGGGTTCCTCTGCACTGTCACCCCAGGCCAACAAGCACAGGAGCACAGCTGTGCTGATGAGATAGTAAGAAATATGGAGGCTGTATGTTATACCATTTGGGCCGAAAATTTTCATATTAGTCATTATACTTGGTGTGGGTCTTTTCATCTTTGGTTTATTTTATAATTATGAAACTGTTACATTCATCAAAAAAAACTATATGGATTGGAGATTGATGCAAGTCTAAGGTCTACAGGCACCTCCTCCCTAGGTAATCACTGCTGCTGACGTGTCCCCGCCAGGCCTTCATGGTGTTCCCGCAGCCCCTGAATCCTGTCAATACAGGACACGCCCTGGTCAATTCACAGCAGCGTTCCCAGTGGCCCACGCGTGCGTGTGACTCTTCCTCTGAACAGACTTCAGCATCCTACTGCTCCCCTCATCAATAAATGGGCAAAATATAAAAGTATTCTTAAAGATCTACAAAACTTAGCATAGTCTGTGTTAATCTAATGTTGAAATATCTAATCATATGTGCAACAAACGACACTAAACATTTCATCAAACAGCTCTGTGTGCCAAGGTGGTAAGGGAGGCTGCGCATGTGGACGAGCTGAGACAGCGTTTCCATCTCCAATGCGGACAATAATCCCAACCAATAATCACCATTAATTCTGTATTCTATCTACTTCCTGTCACCACCACCAGCATTGGTAAAAGGGGATCAGCACAGGGGAACAAAGAGAAAGAAATAATTATCTGCTAAACAGAGAGGACTGAAGCGCTGTGGTCACAGCCAGTCCTTGTGCATCTACCCGTCACAGCGGGAGCTGCTCCCCCGGTGCTTTGCAGCCCAAGTCCCCAGTGGGGGAAGGAGAGATGTCTTCAGCAGGGGTCTCAGGACACTGTTCCATGAGAAACCCTTGGGAGCAGAGACAGGAAAACAGGCCAGGCTAGACGGCAAAGGGGGGCTTGAAGAGGAGGCTCCTCCCTCCTAGGAAGCCTGAGGAGGTGACATAGGGATGGCCGGGTCTGCCCTCGGCGGGTGTCCCACACTGGCTCCCCAGTGTCCATCCCATCAGGACACAGGGACAGGCAGGAAGAAGAGACAGAGCAGAGGCACGAAGTAGCCCCAGGAGGGTCCTGTCAGGTGGAGGCACAGAACCCCAGAATGTCACAGCTGGAGGGGGACCCAGGGGACCCACCCAGCCCCGCCTTTCACAGAGGAGGAGGCACCCCAGTGGTGAGCCTGTCCTGGGTGCACAGGGCAGAGCAGCCTGGACCAGCTTCCTCTTTCAGCCCAGCCTCTCCCCTGCAGGGGCTGCCCCTCAGCTCCCCCTCTCCTGCCCCCAGGGCTCCTCCTCCAGCACAGTGTCTGACCCCCAGGAGCTGAGCACACCCTGATATCACCCTTCAGGGCCCCCCTCCTGGGAAAGGGGTGCAGGACTCAGTGGGGTGAGCAGAGCAGAGACTCCTGACAGCTGAGGCCAAACAGCAGCCCCGCCAGACAGCCCCTTCCCATAACAGGGATCAAGGAGAGAGGGGCTCAGCCTCAGGTGCAGAGAGGGTCCCCAGAACTGGAGGGGGAGAAGCAGCTGTGAGGAAATGGAGGAGACAGAGAGAGAAGGAGCTGCAGGGCTCTGTGTCCTCCAGAAGGGGACTCCTCAGGAGATAATGCTTGCGGGAACACCAGGAAGGCCTGGCGGGGACACGTCAGCAGCAGTGGTACCTAGGGAGGAGGCGCCTGTAGACCTTAGACTTGCATCAATCTCCAATCCATATAATATTTTTTGATGAACATGGCAGTTTCATAATTATAAAGTAACCCTTGGCACCTTAATGTTGCTCACCCTCACTCCTCCCTCATAATCTTCTAGGCAACCCAGGGCCTGTGGAGAAAATTATATTCAATTCAATACATTTCCCATGTTAAATAAAATTGAAGAAGAAGAGAAAGTCTACATTTTAGTCTTGTTCAACATTCCTAGTTAAAAAGGATATGATGTTTTGTAAAAGATCATTCAAGAGCTCATTCAAAAGTGAATGCAAGAGTCTTGTTCACAACTGCCTCTTACACGTTAAATTCTTTTATAATTCCCTACAAATTTATATTTTATGTATATATATATATATAATTCCCTACAAATTTAATACCCCAACCAGGTATTAAAACAAAATATTTAATAATCAAAGATGTTAAATCATTCACCAGAAATCATCATCCATTAGATCTTATTATTTTCTCCTTAACTTTTATTTAATTTCATTATGTATATAAACATCATCTCCAGTAAATTCATAAATGTGACATCTAACCTTGACCAGAAATTTTCCACCTCCTTTTTTGCTCCACCCACCCCCCCGATATCCTCCTTCTTTTCTCCTCCCCAAGTTTACCCCCGTTGCCCCTGTTAACAGTCTCCTTCCTTGCCACATTTTCTCCATTCTGTTTCAATATGTGGCTATAAGAACACCCTTAAATTTTTAGCACTGTTGTTCCTTTTAAACGTTAGAATTTCTGGGCCTCCCCGTTGGCACAGGCAGTTGAGCACCGCACTGTGAAGCTATCCGCAGCCACTGCAGCACAGGTTCAATCCAGGCCCTCCAGCGAGGGTCCCACATGGCACAGCAGACCTCTCCTGCCTCGCCTGCTGCTCCCCTCAGCAGTGTATTTCATCAGTCTGCCTGTTCTGTTCCCCACTCTGTCTCTGGTGAATCCTCTCACCCTCCCACGCATCTGACCTGTACCCCAGTTATTGTATAAATAATAAATCTTTTTAAAAAAATACAAGTTAGAATTTCTATACTTGCACAATCCATGACGTGACCTTCTGGGAATTGAAATCGCACCCACACAACTAGGCCCTCCCAGGTGGGAGCTCACTGTCCCTCTCCTTATAGAAGAGCAGCCCAAGACCCCAGACCAGCATTGCTTCCTCCTGCTCAGACCCAGGGTTCCAGGTTGGCCCCTTCCCACATGACAGCCGCACAGGCTCCCAGGTCCCCTCTGAGTCCCAGGCAGGGGTGTCCTTTTCCAGCCCCCACCCCCAGGAACAATCTTCTTTGCCTCATCCCCTCCCTGGTGGCTCCAGGCCCCCTGCCTCCCTGCTATCTCAGCGAGGCAGCCTCACGTCCTGATGACTGTTCAGGGAACAGTCCCTGAACACAGCCCAGGCTGCCCCCGCACAGGGCCCAGCCCGCCCACAGCCAAAATGCCATCTCGTCCTTTCCATTTATTCACACTGGTATCTAAACCAGATGTGCTCATTTGCTAAAACAAAACAGACTGTTTTGTCTTTTTTCACCAAAGACATCAGACACCCAACATCAGAGAGAAATAACAGCTGCCCCTGCCCCTCCCCCCCTTCCCAGGGCCCCAGGCCACTCACTGAGGAGGAGGCTGGCGAGTCCCAGGGCCCGGGAGACCCGGCAGAGGTGGGGGTTTCCAGGGCAGGGCCCCATCCCAGGCTGCCTATCCATCTGTTCAGCTGCAGAGGAAACATCTAGAAAGCAAAGAAAAAAAGCAAAAGAAAACATTCACTCAGATGAGCCTCCCTAATCTCTTCTCCACCCCAGGGCGGGGCTAAAATGTTAGTTCTGGGATGGCAGCTCAGCTTCTCCATAAGCCATTCAGATCCTTCCTGTTACCCCAGCACAAACAGCAGGACTTCAATAAATAATTGTAGAATAAATGTATAAACAACCCCACACCCCATATGACATGTCTGCCACTGAGTTGGAGCGGCCCCTCCACATGTCAAACCAGCTTGGTGATCATACATCCCTGCCCTCTCCACTTCCCCTGGGTTCCCAGGCAGCCCTGCCACCTATGCCAGCCCACGTCAGGCACAGCAGCCACGTTCATAGAAAGGCTTGTCTTTGCCCCTCTTGGTGGCTGTCCTCTGCTCTTAGGTCATTAAATAAGTCAGATTTCCTTATTGACGTTCCATAAATTTCCACTGTCGGTTACCTAATTAAGCGGCTAACTGATTAAGCAGCACAATAACAAAGCACCCACTTCAAACTGTCACTGACCTGTTGCTTGTATTTATGTGGCTCCTCAGCAGCCCTAGGGCTGGTTCTCCTCCCTACACACAAGGTGAAGCCAAACCCCCACAAAGGCTGCCTCACACCCAGCACTTCCCTTTGAGCCTCTGCCAGCCCTACTCCTGCCCTCACGGTGGGGGTTGGAAGGGCATAGAGGCCTGCACAGCCCTCCTGCCCAGGGCCCAGCTGCTTCAGCCATACCCCTCCTGAGGGCCAGGGACAAGCTCCCCTCAGTGGACACCCCACTATATCTGAGATCTCTCAGCTCCCACCCCTGGGGAGCAGTGCCTCTCCCTGACCTTGCAGGGCATCTGTAGCTGCCCACTGGGGTCCCCCTTTCTGCCAGGAAGAGCATCACCAGGCTGGGTCTGCAGGACAGGCCCACCAACTGCACTCATGGGGGTCAAGAGCAGCACAGCAAACCCACTTATGATGAGACCCCAAGTCTTAGAGGGGCTGTGAGGCCTGAAAAGTTCACACAGCAAGTCACGGGCAGTGTGTGCCTCCCAACAACAAACTCTGGACAATCTCACATGCATCACACCCTCCCCTGTGGCTCAAACAAGTCACCTCAGGCCAGCCTTGTCTACCTCATCACTGGCCTGCAGTATCTCAGATGAGAGAATATTCCACACTGGCCTGACTCCCCCAAACCCCACCCAGCAGTGGGGACCTTCCCTCAGTGGGCATCCAGGAGCCCTGAGGTCAGAACTTCTTGCACAGTCAGAACCCGGCAGGTCCTCCCCTGCTCACTCCTGTGATGGGAGCAAGTGTCATGTGTCCCCTACTGTGTCCTCACACCCCTGTGAGCACCCGTGGGACACTGTTCACCTGGGAAACCATTTGCTGAAGGGGGTGGGGAGGGGAGCTAACGAGAGGGACACACAGTGTGGCTGCAGGTCAGGGACTCTGGGGGGGCAGGTAACAGGCACTCACATACTGGCAGAACAGCAGGGGCTTTTACAGCCCACACACCTAACCTCATTTCATCATCACTGTCAGCAGTGCTGAGACACAGCACACATGTAAGTACACACACACACTCATACACACACACACAAGCACACAAACACCCTGCAGAGCCTCTTGAGAGTTCACTATACACACTGCCTGGAGCCAGGGGTGTTGGGGGGGAAGGCCCCCCTGGACCTACAGCAGCACAAAGTGTGTGTCTGGAATGGCAGATGGGAGAAGAATGCGGGGCTCCATGAGATGGGGCATCAGGACTGACGCCTGAAGAGGGGACCAGGAACATGCACCCTCCTGGGAGTTCACAGAAGCTTCTGGGGCTTGGTGGGAGGTCACAGCTATCTACCTGAATTCCAAAGGACAGGGCACCCCAGTGAGAACTGGGTTATATGGAGCACGTTTATTGAGTATCTATTCACTGCCAGGACTTTACAGATGTTATTTCAGTACATCTACGATATAGATGAATTAAGTCTTCAAAACCACATACAATGTCAGCACTACACGCACCGCATGAGGCAGCATCCTGAAAGCCCAAAGAGATGAAATAACTTGCCCAAGGTCACATCTGAGGTACATGGCAAGAGACCCCAAGCCGTCACATCAGCCCAAACTTGCACTTGCCAGGGGACAAAGGAGGGTGTAGAATCTGAGACTCACATCAGGGCTGTGACAGCCCCAGGGAGGGAGCTGGTCTGTTCCCTGATGTGGGAGGAAACTAGCTCTGGGGGAGGGGCCAGTGCTCAGGTAAAGGAGGGTAGGGGGCCCTAGTCTGAGGGATGTCTGTCCCTGACCCTCTGCCTGGGAGAGAGGCCCCACAGCCCAGCTGGCTGGTTCCACAGGAGCAGGACAGCCAGATGCACTGGAGGTGGGCAGCCAGGAGCAGAGGCAGCCTGGCCCTCCCTGTCCTGCCCTCTCCTCCTGGCTGCCTCTAACTCCCAGCTGCCTTCTGCTTCATCTAGTCACTGTTAGAACCCTCCCGAGTATTCCTCCTTCAGCCATGGTGTCCTCAGCTCTGTGACTTCTGGGTGGAACTTCCTTGTTGATGTTCCTGCTCTGATCATCTGCTCTTCTTCCCAATTCTGTGACCTCTTCATGATCATTAGTTTGATCATATAGAGAAATTACATATTTCCACCCTTTTAAGTTTCTTTCTGGTTTTTTGCCTTGAAACATATCTCTCATTTTGCTTTTAATTTCACTCTGTGTTAATTCTTTTAGTTGAACAGCTCTCTCTTCCAGTCTGGAAGAATGAGTCTTACATTGGCAATAAACCCTGCTTTTTAACCTCATCCTACCTCTTGGCTGCATCCGGAATCTTTGTGATTATATAAGTGGCTTGGATTTTTTTTTTTTCTAGATAGGTCCCAGTTGTTGAGAGTCCAGAGAACTTGCTAACTGTTGCAGATCCTCAGAGCCCAGAAACACAATCCCCCAGTGGGTGACAGTGGTGTGGGGGTGGGTGGCTTGCCCTCCTCATTAGTACATTACAGGGATATCGCGAGTCCCTCCATCAGCAGCATGTGGGGAGATCTCAGAAATGGCACCCACAAGCACCTCCATCCCACAGAGATTCCCCACAGTTTCCTGCCCCTCAGTAACTCTTCAAGATTAGCAAATGGATCCCTTTTGCATGTGGCCTGGGTCCTTTCTAAACTGCTGCCTCTAGGGTGTGAGTTTGCTAAGGTCCCTAAGAGTGGAGTTTCCATAGTTAATTCCTGTGGTTCTCCTCAGAGCACACTCTGTTTTTTCAAAGACTTTTAGGGAGACTGTTTCTCTGGCGCAGGTCCCAAGTGTTGGGATGTGGGTTCCAAATCCTTGTTCTTCAGGGAAAAACTTTGTATTTATGATATCCCTCCTGATTTGGGGTGCCAGGGATAGAGGAGGAGGGGTTCATGGCAAGATTGCCTTCTGCCTCTCTACCATTGTCAGAGGGAATTTCTCCATGTTTACCTACAGATTTGTTGTATCTTTAGAAGTGAGTTCAGGGCCTCCTTGGTGGCATAGGGGTTAAGTCTCAGCTCTATCATTGCTGCAGCCTGAGTTCAATCCCTGGCCAGGCTGCTGACCCACAGGGCACAGCAAACCTCTCCTGTCTCACCTGCTGCTCCCCTCAGCAGTGTATTTCAGTAGATCTGCCTGTTCTGCTCCCCACTCTGTCTCTGGTGAATCCTCTCACCCCTCCCCCAAACCTCTGGCCAACACCCCAGCTCTTATATGCATAAATAAATAAGAATAAATCTTTAGAAGTGAGTTCAGTGTCTGTCTACTTGCCATTTTGAACCACCTCCCCACTTTGAAGTTTATTGAAGCTTGTTTTATGGTCTGACATACTGATATTTTTATAGAATGTCCGTGCGCATTTGACAAGAATGTGAAAACTGATGAAGAGCAAGCCGGTCAATAGATAGTGGAGTGTTCAACAGTGTCTGTAGGTCTCATTGTTTTATTCTTCTCTATTCTCTTCCAATTTAATGAATTTTTCTAAACTCGCTATCCATTACTAAAGCTGGTGTGCTAAAGTCTCCAATGACTATTGTTGAATTCTGTGTTTTGTACTCTACTCCACATTTTTTACTCACATATCTGGAGGCCCTTTTTATATGCTCATGTATATTTGCAGTTGAAGTTGCTATATCTTTTTGATAAGTAAATTATGTTGTCATTACAAATTTTTTTTTCTCTAGTGACAATTTTTGTCCTAACTTTTGTCTGATATTTGTATTGTCACTCCTATTCTTTTGCTTATAGTTCACATGGCATATCCTTTTCCATCTTTTGTTTCAGTCTATTAGTGTCTAAAGTGCATTCCTAACAGCACATACACAGATCATGTTTAATGCCTCATGACTTTTATTTGCAATATTTAATCCATTTATATTAATGTAATTATTTTTAATAATTTACTTATATATTATATAATATTTATATTAATTATTTTGTTTATATTTCCATATTTATCTATATGTATTACATATTTATGCATATTATTTATATATATTTATATAAGCAAATATTTTATATATTATATTTTATATATTCATTATGCATATTTATATAAATTTATTTATATATATTTTACATCATTGTTCATTTTTGTACAATGTTTACTTTCTTTTCTCAGATGCAGTCACCACAGAATTCCCACCACCAGTTCACCCGTGCACCATCACCACAGTCCCTTGTGCTTTTCCCTCCTTCGTTTTGATCTCTCTCCCTTCCCTCCCCTGCAAAATGTCTCTGATTTATAGTTGTCTGTTTATTTTTGTTTTGTTTTGTTATATTTTTTATTGTTATTATTTTTTTCCCTAATACCTTATTTGGTTCCCCTATATTCCTCTTAGAAGTGAAACCATCCGATATTTTTTTTTTTGCTTCTGATTTATTTCACTGAGCATAATCCCTTCTAGCTCCATCTATGTTGCTGCAAATGGCACGCATCTTATCTTTTTTTGATTGCTGAATAGTATTCCATTGTATATCTATATCACATCTTGATCCAGTAGTCTATTTTTGGGCATTTGGGTTGTTTCCAAGTCTTATCTATTATAAATAGTGCTGCAATAAAATAGGGGAAAAGGGATTCTTTTGGGTTAATGTTTTTGTGTCCTTTGGGTAGATACCCAGTAGTGGAATTGCTGGGTCATATTGTAGCTCCATTTTTCTATTTGATTCCATTGGTCTATGTGTCTTTTTCATTCCAGTAGCACATTGTTTTTAGTTATTATGGCTTTGTAGTATAGTTTGAAGTCTGGGCATGTGATACCTTCATTCTCCTTTGTTTTTATCAGGAGAGTTTAGTCAAAGGAAATTAAATAACTACCTTAAAGGAGTGTCTGCACCCCCACATTTATTGCAGGTTATGCAATAACAAAGACATAGAAACACTTAAGTGTTTTTTAAGTGTTTTTAAGTGTTTCATCACCAGATGAGGAAATAAAGGAAAATAAAGAAAAATGTCATATATATTGCACATTTATTATATATTATTTATGTTATATATATAATATACAATGGACCCTTGAACAACCCAAGTTTGAACTTTGTAGGTCCACTTATATGCTGATTTTTCTTCCTATCTGCCAGTTGAGCAATCATGTATTCAACAGCCACAGATATAAGGTGGTTGAATGAACCAATGCTAAATCCATGAATATGGAGAGCAGACTATATATCATACTCAAATTTTCAATTGAGTATACATCCCTATATATTCATATATAGGTGTGTATTTAATTGTATCCAATACAACTGGATGTTATTTAGCCATTAAAAAGAAGGAAATTTTGCCTTTCACAACATGGATGAACCTTGATGACTAGGTGAGATTAGTCAGAAAAAGACAAATCCTGTATATTTCACTTACATGTGGACTCTATAAAAGCTGAACTCAAACAGGGAAAGTAGAATGGTGGTTGACAGGGCCTGGGTGGAGGAAGTGGGGGTGGGGGCGTTTGGTCAATGAGTCCAAACCTACGATAAAGGCTGGACATCTAGTGCACAGAATGGTGACTGTGATTGACAGTAATGTGCTATACACTTGAAAGTTGTTAAGAGAGTAGATCTCAAATAAGAGAGTAGATCTTAAATATTATCCTCACACATGAAAAAATAAGTGCTTGTGAGAGGGGATGGATGTGGCAGCTATCCTCACGGTGGTAATCATTTTGCAAATATACATGTATTGAATCATCACATTGTACACCTTAAACATATGTTTTATGTCAATAATATCTCAGTAAA